TGCTAAGGGTGTTCGGCATCTTGTGCTTTCTTGCTTGCGTACAGATGACAGCTGCGTATGACTTCATTTATTTTCTGGTGCTTCACTCCCAGACAGTTGTAAGCACTAATGTTGTGTCTCGAGGGTGTTTGACCATTTTAACACAACGTGGTGCGATCATCCCCCTCGCGCGGAGTGAGGGTGCTCCACCCCGCACAACATGATCTACTCAACCACCATTATGGTTACCGCCAAAAAAAGAGGTGAAAAAAAACCGGTAACCTGGTTGCCGAGTTCACGAAGTGAATTGGCTTGTGTTACAACGTTGTTGCCAAGCGACGAAAACCCAACCCCGATGGCAAACACCGGGGGCGGGCGGCTTGTTTCACAACGTCGTTGCTAAGCGACGACAACCCAACCCCGATGGCGAACACCGGGGGGGAGGACAGGAGGGAGGGGAGGGAAAGGGTAAATCACATTCATAACGCCCCGCGCCCTGCATGGCAAGTGCATGCTCCACAGCTCCACGTTGGTAAGGCCAGGGACCAGAAGCAGAAGGGGTACTTTCGCTGTTTCCCTACATTGCGCGTCTTGTACATTGCCGCTCTGAAGCTCGCATGTTTTCCAAGCACTTCTCGCGGCAACAGCCTTGCATGTAACACTTGTTTTACTGGTGTCTAGACCTGCCGTGCCGTGTTTTCTGCCATTTGAATGGGGGGCTAGCACCACAGCAGCGGTCAAAACGCGTTGATTGGCAGCATGCTAGTCAATGCTGTAAGCATGTCCTTGAAGCTGGTTGTTGCGACTTTGGTATCATCCCTCCTGTGCAACATTTGAACTACGCGTGGTAACCGAGCGACAAAAAAAGAACGACTAGCAATCCGGAGAAAGGAAGCTTACGGACGGGGGAGACAGGACTCATCGAAGAGGCGCAAATGTTCCCAGTTCCTGTTTGTGGTGTCTTGGTTTTTGTCTGCGTACGGCTTGTTTGCGCCTCAGGAGCGGGCTTCCCCCAATCACTGGTATCTATTGACCTTGAGTGTATCATTGTTTCAATAGTGAGTGTATGGGGGACATTTTGCCTGATCGGTCGTACAGATGGCGCCCGCACTCAAGAACCTCTAGTTTCGGCCGAGGCTGGGATTCTTATTTTGCTGATCATTCTCTTGTGGGCTACAAATGGCCGCTATACAGGTTTTGTGTCGGGTTCTTAACCAAGCTCACAAATGGTGCTCAAGTTCTTAGCTTCTGATTTTTTGCGAGTCTCAATTTCTTCACTGCTGAGTTCTTTAGTGCGGGCGCTATCTGTATATCCGACAGAGCTCCCCGGGCATACGTAGGGCGCGTAGAGACAAACCCTCTAGACAGAAGAACCACTGCAGCGTAATGTGCATGGTCAATCTTGCTTCGCCTTTTTGGTTTGAAGACAACAACAACAACAGCGAGGATGGTCTACATGCACTCCCCGTTTTTCGCGAATTGGGCCTTCACTGCCATCCGTGGCAATACACCGTTCTCAGGTCGTGACTCTCGCATCCTGGTCTCCATCCGAAAGAAGCCGAGACGGAGCACCTCCAGGTTTGGCCGACCATACATCATGCACTGCGCTACTAAGCGCACCTGTGGTGTTTGGATTGCCGCACGAAGTTTAGGCATACTTTCGCCTCCCACTCTGTATTTCAACGAAATAGTCAATGACTATTTTGCCTGTTTTTTTCCTGACGTTGACACCATTTTATCCCGTAAATTTCTCTTCCCAAACTGTCTACAACATTTCTGCGCAAGCCCGACCTCGTTCACGCTATCCACAAGGGGAGCGCAGGCCCTAGTCAACACATGAATCAAAATCACCAGCCACGCCTGCGGGTTGGTTCGGGATAAAACTGCTGTAAATTCCCTCAGTGAAGAGCTCCGAGAGCGATACATACTGCCCCCAGGAACCGTGGGAGAAACCCTAATAGCTCCGTTCTGCCCTCCTTCGACCTTGGCGTCGAGGTACTGAAAAACCAGCCGCAAGCAGATGACACTACCACAAAGAGTTTCCGAACCCCCAAACACAAGGGCGAGACGTGCAGTGCCACATTTCGTACCTGCCGACTCATTTCATATGTTACAAAGCCCATGCACAAGCCGCTGCACCCATAATAACGTATATCCCCAATGACGCCATATTTTCTCCACGGCCCTCAAAATTCTGTATCAACAAGTCAACTCTATCTCCACAGAATGGCGGCACATCCACTGATTCTATCAAGCTTCGCAAGTCATTCGCGGGTTATACAAGGACGGCCATGAACTATTTATTATTAGCTTTCTGTTTCCGTGTAGCCCAGCTCGGCTAAGATAAGTCTTCCATTGTCGTAGTTTGTACCCGGGATTGGGTCTTCTCTGACAAGCATTCCAGCCGTGTCGAGGGGGGCCACAGGAGCATCTGAGTGCACAAACCTGGAAAAACAGCAGCGGTCAAAGAAAGGATCGACGCCAGTAGATAAGATGCTTACAAGTTGAATTTGGTGGATCAACAGCAACATCACGACGACAGCATCAATGCAAAAGGAACACCGACCGATGAGTCAACAACAGAAATAAAGATGCACAAACCTTGCCAATCCGTTGACCTCAAGCAGATGGCAGACCTGCACCAGAGAAAGCGAAAGCATGTGAGAGGCAGACAGGTTTCAGCGAGATTAGTAGCACCAGAGCAAACCTTAGGTACTACCCCGCCTGGACTATATCGAAAACATAAGAAGGGAAACCGGTTGTCTCTGCTTGGAACTCTTCTCTGAGCATGAGCGCCACTACGATAATTTTGAGATTCATGATGGAGTTATTGAATCAATTTGAAATTGCAGCGAGCATTTCGCGGGCGGTTGAAGCAAGACATGGAAACGTCCATCAGTAAACTCTCGCGCTGCTTCTGCAAACAGGACCAAACAAGAAGGGTCATAGGGGGCGTACACGTGTCAGACCCTATACCCGTTTCGAGATATGATGAATCCTTTTCTACTCCTGGTCTGAATAACAGTGACTGTTCGGGATCTCTTGCTTTGCAACGGTGTTTGCGCGGTTAATATCACAAGGCTTCGTGGTGAGCGGTGCTGCCGGCAGGAACAATTCAACAATTCAAGGTACCTTTGGCTTTCTCTTTGCAAGAATGGCTCGAGGACCACTAAGGCCTGCAAGAGCTTTGTCGTCTTCCTTCTTCGGAGGACGCGGAACGGTGTCGCCGGCACGAAAGAGAGGAATGCCCAAGGCATCGCTTACGTGCTTTGCTTCCTCGACAACCTAACAGGGGGGCGAGAGGCCGAGGACGAGAAAGTCGGACACGCAAGAGCTCGACGAAGAGCTGGAGATCGAATAATTTGGTCCCAGGGGTTGAGACACTGCCCATGGCAGCCTACAGGGTTTTTGTGGGTTGCTCTCGCACAACACTAATTCGGCAAGCGCTGCTGGATTGGTGTTTGAGACGTTACCAACGAGTGCGTGGTAATCTCCAGTGACAGGACAGAATACATATAGCATGTACTTCATTCACGTTTCGGGCGAGTAGCGTCATCTGGACTTTTGTTGGGTAGTTTACGCAGCTCAAATGGAGCGTGCGCCGGCTCCCTGACGAAGGAGCAAACTTGTTGAATAATAACCACAAAACATGTAAGAGTATACGATAACACACATTTCACACACCACTGGCGCCACCATCGCCACTAATCACATCATCGTCTCTTCTTCACACGGCATGAAGGGAACCGTATGGAATTCATCTGCGTGTCGTGGTGCATGTGGCTAGCTCAGCGCCTACTGATCCTCACGCAATTTTCTGATCGGAAAAAAAATGCGGAGCTCACGGGTGCCCGAAAAAAAAAATTTCCCAACACCTACCCGACAAAACTTTTTTTGAGACCTCTCCGGGGGGGGGGGGG